TTGGTAAAGTTATGGAGAGAATTATTGAAGATCATATGATGGTGTTCCTCATTGAAAACAATTTAATTTCTAAAGAGCAACATGGTTTTGTTAATAACAAAAGTTGTATAACAAACCTGTTAGAAACATTAGATTTAATCACGCAAGCGTATGAAGAGGATATTTCTGTTGATGTTTTATTTTTGGATTTTAAAAAAGCATTTGATTCAGTCTCTCACACGAAATTACTGAAAAAATTATTCAGACTAGGATTTGTATCATCTTTGTTAAATTGGTGTAAATCATTTTTGTCAGGCCGAACACAGAGAGTTGTAATAGGGGAATATATTTCAAGTTGGAAGATGGTTACTAGTGGAGTACCACAAGGTTCAGTACTCGGACCTCTTTTGTTTGTAATCTTCATTAATGACTTATGTAGAGGGATTATTAAAGACACTAAATTATATGCAGACGATACCAAAGTTATTTCAATCAATCATTGTTATGATGATAATAAAATATTACAAGAGGATATTAACAGGTTAGTTAAATGGTCTGAAGATTGGTTAATTACATTTAATGAATCAAAATGTAAAGTCATGTATATTGGCAAAAAGAATCCAAGATATGAATATAAATTGAACAACTCTGTTTTAACAGAAACAATGATAGAAAATGATCTTGGGATTTTCATTTCAAATAATCTAGAGTGGAAATATCATGTTAATTCAGCTATAGGTAAAGCAAACAGAAAATTAGGCATGATCAAAAACTCTTTTGAGTATTTGGATGAACTTTCATTAAAGTTACTATACAAATCGTTAGTACGTCCCCATTTGGAATATGGAGCAACAGTTTGGAGTCCATTTTGGAAAAAGGACATTGACAATCTTGAAATCGTGCAACACAGGGCTACGAGAATTGAATCTTTAAGGGGGAAGTCGTATGAAGAAAGATTAAAGATACTTGAATTGCCAACTTTGTTTGATAGAAGAAGAAGAGGTGATCTGATTCAAATGTATAAGATCTCAAAAGGAAAAGATATTGTTAATTTTCACCATCCTCCTTTAAATTTTGAGCTGGAGCGATCTAGTAGAAGTAACAATTGTAGAATACGCAGACAATTTACAAAATCAAGAATTCGTCACCATTTCTTTACAAACAGAGTTATAAATGATTGGAATTCTCTTCCACAATGGATATTAGATAAAGATAATTTGAACATTTTTAAAAACAGTATCGATAATTATTTCGGTTTCTGAACACTAATTTTTGTAATCGGCTGTCATAGTCTTAATTCTACGTAATTAAGACTCTACACACCTCAAGTGTGTACAGCACCTTTTCTATTCTATTCTATTCTATTCTATATATATATATATATATATATATATATATATATATATATATATATATATATATATATATATATATATATATATATATATATATATATATATATATTAGGGTGATTCAGATTGTAATAGAAAAAAAAAAATGTCACAAAAAACATTCTCCTCAAGGTTGCCTGTGTTCCTTTATCACCTAGGATCATGTGTACCAAAAATTAGACTAAAAGAAGCAATTTTAGGGGTTGCCATGTTTTATAAGATGAATTGACCATTGGTAAAATTTTGTGATTTTCTCAAATTTCGCAAATTTGTTTTTTCATTGTTTATTTATTTATAATTTAGAAATTGATAATATGGCAACCACTAGATCTTCTGCTGAGGTGTGGCTTGTTGGTAAACCTACACAAACTCTGTCGACTGCCAGACTTCCTTCAAGAGGGGATGTTCTTCGGAGGTTGCTCTTCCATCATATAGAAGAGAAACAAGAAGTGAAAAAAAGTATTCGGGCAACAATTGAAGCAGTTCTTGTTATATGGGAGAGAGGAAAAATTCCAACTCAAAGAATTGACAATGCGGAAAGAAAGTTAAAAAAACTTTATGACGAATATCTGCTGCTGAAAAAACACCGAGGATCAAAATTGGACAGCTGTCGAATGAAAGAAGGAATTTTCCACGCTGACCTTGAAGAACTTTTTGATATTTCAACCAAGAATGCATCAGAAGTTATGAAAAACGATGAAGATAAAGCATTTTTACGTCAGCAGCAAGAAGATCTATTAAGTTGTAGTATGGCAGGAATTGATCGGAATTTAACAGCTAGGGAGGCACGGAAACGAGTCCGAGAAACTAAAATGGAATTGAGGCGTCAAAGAAGTCAAGCGGAACTGATGGAAAAAACAGAACTCATTTCTTCTTCATCAGCAGTTGACATTGTGAGTGAAAGTAGCTCTAGTTCCTCGGATGATGATGTATATCAGACTCCTTCCGCTTCCAGCACACTAAGCACAAGTGGTTCAACGAAAAAGAAGATGAAAGTTCTAACAAATAATGTTGTATCATCTCTTGATCGTGTTAATATTTCTGATCGCCGTGCACTCTTCGTGGTTGGAACAGTGTCTCAGGCTCTTGATCACTCGGTAAAAGATTTATCATTGTCGTACAGCACAATCCGCAGAAAAAGGCGATCTGTTCGTGAAGCGGTGACTACAGCTGACAAGGTTGATTTCTCTCCTGATGATCCACTTCTTCTGCATTGGGATGGAAAGCTCTTACCTGATATCACTGGTGGTCAAAAAAAAGTGGATAGAATTGCCATCCTTGTGACTGGTGGTGGGGTGGAAAAATTGCTGGGCGTTCCAAAGATTGATCGAGGTACAGGTGAGCAACAGGCTGATGCTTGCATGAAGGCTCTTAAAGACTGGAAATTGAAAGAAATTGTTCGGGGACTAGTTTTTGACACTACTTCATCTAACACTGGGTTGAACATTGGTGCCTGCACAATAATGGAGCAGAATCTTGACCGTAATCTTATATGGATAGCATGCAGGCACCATATGTTTGAAGTCATGCTTTCCACCATTTTCACGACTGCATTTGGAACCAGTGGAGGACCTGAAGTTGGAATTTTTAACCGTTTCCAGAAACAATGGCCAGGAATCAACAAGGAGGTGTTCACTATAGGGAATAAAGAATTTTACAACTGCGATTTTTTTCTCAAACTCCGTTAAGAAATGGTAGTATATTATAGTGAAGCAATTAAAGGTCAACAACCCAGGGATGATTACTTAGAACTCTTGAATTTGTGCCTTATTTTTCTTGGAGGATCAACTACAACATCGGAGTTCAAAGTGAAGTTTCGGGCTCCAGGTGCAACACACAATGCACGTTGGATGGCAAAAGCTATATATTGTATAAAGATATATTTGTTTCAGGATCAATTTGTTATTACTGCAAAGGAAAAGAAAGGAATAACAGATATAAGTCTTTTTGTGGCATTTGTATACGGACAGTTTTGGAATGAAGCTCCGTTAGCTGAACGAGCACCATTCAATGATGCCAAGCTTCTTCAACGGATTCAAGAATATCCAAATCGTACAATTGCAATTAATGCAGCAAAAGCTTTTCATCGCCACCTCTGGTATTTTTCTGAACATCTAATAGGATTGGCTTTCTTCGATTCCCGTGTCGACAACAACACCAAGAGAGACATGGCAAACAACCTGAATCAACAGCCAAGGCAGAAATCTCTCAAAAGACTTGATGCTGCCACATTCGATTGTCACAGCCCATTGCCTTCCTTCGTCACACAACGCACCGCAGAACTTTTCGATCTAATTTTGAAAAATGGAAAAGAAAAACCTGAATCATTTTTAATGAAAGAATCTTCAGAGTGGGAAATGGATTCAACATATCTTGAAATGAAGCACAAGGTTAGTCAAATGAAAGTCGTCAACGATTGAGCGGAACGAGGCATAGCACTTATAACATCCTTTAACTCAAGCGTTACGAAAGATGAAAACCAAAAGCAGTTTCTTCTTAGATTGGTTGATCTTCACCGGAAGGAATTTCCAGTTGCATCAAAGTCTACCCTGATGAATATGACTTTTGAATGATGAAGATGATTGATTTATTATTGCCTAGTGCAATTACATAGTAGTACTATAGTATTGATTTTTTTAACATTGAACATCCACAATCCACCACATAATAATAAGAAATTGATAATAAATAATTCAGTAATATAATATAAAAAATGTAAAAATAAAAAATATTTTTTTTATTTTTTGTAACCTTATACCAAAATGTGACAAAACATGGCAACCCCTAAATATCATCCGATTTGATTCAAATTTTGGCCAATAACTACTATTGTCACATATAACAAGGGCAAGCTTGAGGACAACTAAAGTTTTGAACCTACAAATTTTGCATCACCCTAATATATATATATATATATATATATATATATATATATATATATATATATATATATATATATATATATATATATATATATATATATATATATATATTCCAGATTTCTTTAAAAATAATATCAAATTTTTTCACTTCTTTTACCTATAAAATACAAAATAAAAGCTTTATGAAAAAATTATTTTTACTTTTGAAATAAAAAATCATTGTCTTTTAATATTATCTAACAAAGGGCACTTATTTTATAAAAAAGTGGTGAGGGGTTTATTGCCATTTTTGTTGTTGTTTTGAGTCACTGTGCGCTGTAATATTATAAAATCGTCTTAACTACACCTCAACACAATAGGGCTTACTTTTTCGAATCTAGACATTCAATTTACGGTTTTCACATGTAATATGTTAATAATGTATTTTAAAATATCTGTTAAATATCAATTAACTTTTATTTTACTTATGTCACTAATTTATTTTATTAGATTATATATTTTTAAATGGTTCGTATTACTTTTTTGACAATATTTTAATTCGTACATATTTTGAATTTAAAATATAAATATTTTTTTTTAATTATTTATAATCTTAAAAATAACTTATTAAAGAAAAATCATACAATAAAAAAACTATAAACAACGGAAAAAAAGAATGCTAAATGAAAGCTAAAATTACAATAAAAACATTACCAAAATGTGAACGCACAAAATTTTAAATAAGTAATTTACATAAAATAACTGTTGATTGAATTCATGAAATTTAATTAATCGTAAAACAGTTGATTTGTTAAACCTCAATTTTAAAACTCAATTAACCATTAAAATCTTATAAACATACTATATATACTTTCAATACATTAAAATAATTTGAAACGAAAACTTTTAAATATAATTCTTCTAAGATTCTAATGGAGATTTTGTTTATTCTTAATTTTATCGTGAAGATACAATTGCAGCTTATCAACTCCACCACAAAAGGTTACAACTACATAAAATATTACCATAAATACAGAATACCATCTTGCAAAACTAGACCACCATAGAGAATAAACACATGTAGAGAGAAATGTTGCCCAAAATAGATTTACCAAGCCCATTATAGAGTTATATTTATACATAGAATTTTTATCGTTATAATGAACAGGTTCGCCAACAAACTCTCCATTTTCATAAAATTTCTTTAAACGTTCCTCTTTTTCGAGCCAAATTTTTTTACACCATTCATCAAGAGAGTCGGAGTCGTTTGGGATATCCGAAATTTTATAGCTTTTAAAATAAACATGGATCTCTAATGGAAAATTTCCCGTGATCAAATCTTTTTCACCATAACACAGATTTTTTGGGTAGCCAATAGTAACATCGTGAATTGAGTCGATAACCTTGCCACGTAATTTTTGCACTAAATAATTAAAACCTTTAACATGGGGGTGAAGAACATATTGATAAATAGGAAGACCATTTTTTTCAGCAAAACTATCACTTTTGCTTTTTCCTCTCTTACACATATTGGTTCCTTCAGGGAAGATAAATAACTGTAGAGGATAATTTACATCTATGAAGTAATTCAGCATGCGATCCAAGTAAATATGATCTAAGTCCCAACGCCTTTGCAAAAAAAAATACAAGACGTTCTGCATACACCAACCTTAAAACAAAACATTCTATTTAGCACAGGTGGTTAAACAATAGGGACTGCCATATAAGGGGTCTTCCATAAAGTACGCACGCAGGTAGGTACTTTATGGAAGTTCCAATTCTTAATTAGGAAAAAACTGTTTGCTATATTGAAAACCAAGAACCCTGAAACAAAAACAGGGTTTTTATTAAGATTACAACAAAAATGGCGCATTACTGATTGTGCTTCAGAAACACAATATGTATGCGTGTGTTATTCACAAGACTTTCTCAAAACTACTTTTACATCCTCTTGGTGTGACATACAAAGAATTATAATCTTATTGACTTGAAAAAAATCATTTAAGTACAACTAGGCATTTTTTTATTTAAGCTAATTTTCAAGTTTGCTGACTAGCATATTGTATGAATACTTTTTTTAAACTTTTTTTTTGTACATTTTATTAATAGTGTGAATGTAAAACATACAAAATTATTAAAAATGATCATTTGTTTTTTAAAATGTAAACTTATACCATTTAATTTTGTTGTAAATAATATATATGAAAGAAAAAAAATAATAAATTTACTCGATTCTAATTTTCTAATTTGATTGATTGGTAAACAAGTTGATAGATTAGTTTCTTATTTTTAAAATATCACAAACCAAATCAAAAATTAATAACTCCTTAACTAAACATTTTTCAGTTGCTTTGGTTGTCTATACGCTTTTTTAATCATCCTGCTACTGGCAACATGTAACCCAGTGAAACTTGTTCCATGTTCTGCTGCTTTGCAGGATTTGCTTTCTAAGCAAAGGCTGGAAGGAGTGCGCTTCCTGTCATCAGTACTATTTTATATCATTCATGCCTATAATAATATTTATTAATTTATTTTTTTATATAGTTGGAGGTGCCTTCGTTACTGTATTAGCTCACCTGTAATCTACTTTATATGTATGTTTGTCTTCTGTCTGAACCTCTGGCGCGGTGTTCGCTCAACCGTAAGTTACTTTATGTTTTTTAAGTATGTCTGTGTTCTGTCTGAACCTCTGGCGCGGTGTTGACTCACCCATAAGTTGATTTATGTTTCTTTGTGTTCTGTTTATTCTCTGATGCAGCGTAAGCTCAGTAACTAGCTACTTACTCCAACTACAAAACCTACACTCACCTTAGACTCCTATATCACCTTAGACTCCAAAATGTCATGCCTGGTTTTCTTAAAGTACTGTTGCAGGAAGTAACTCCTATTAACTACTTTAGGTCAGGTCAGGATAATCAAGATCAATCTTGCTACTGGTATCATGTAACCCAATACCACCTGCCACAAGCCCTGCTGCCTTGCAGAGTGTGCTCTTCTTAGGCAAAGACTAGGAGAAATAAACTCCGACTAAAAATTGCCTTGGAGCTCTTGGTTGAGTAAAGGCTAGAGATGGTGCCTCGATAAAAACACTCATCTTGGGCAGATGTTAACTGCATCCAGCTAAACATCCCCTGCCTTGGGGCTCTTGGTTGAGTAAAGGCTAGAGATGGTGTCTCGATAAAAATACTCATCTTGGGCAGATGTTAACTGCATCCTGCTACTGTCTTGTAGAATGCCTCCTAGGCAAAGACTTTTGGGGTAAGCAGAAAAATTCTGCTAACCAACCTTGAACCTCTTCTTCATCTATTAGGCTGGCGTAGATGTAACCTGTGTTACATTGTTTCCTGCCTAAGATGATGAATGCTGGATTTCCTTGACTCTACTCATTAAATTTTGCTTATGCCTCCTTGATAATGGCTATGCAACTCTTCCTGTTATCTCAATATGAGGGTACAGCTCTAAAACTCAGTTTATAAGTTCTGAGGCCGGCTGGTAGTAAAGTTTCCCGAACTCTGTGGTAGCTCTCAGAGAGACTGATTCCATCAACAGCTGCAAAATATCAGAGTATTAACAATGCCATGTTGTGCATGGATGGTGTCCCTGTTAATGCTTTTGCTGTGCATTGTCAAGGCCACATAAGGAGCCCTATGTCACGGCTTAGGGTTAATTAACAGGACTGAGACAACTGCATAGCTCATTGATTAGGAGGCTGTGCTCTATCTATGAATGAGTCAAGTTCTCATTAAATCCAAATCATGACCAAAGTAACCAAAAATTTAAAACCTAAAAAACCATCCCCACCACCTAAATGTTTTAATATATCTTTTACAAATATTCGTGGTCTGCGAAGCAACTTTCCGTCAGTTGAGTCTTACCTCCTGCAAAATTCACCACACTTGCTTGCACTCAGTGAAACAAACTTAAATTCTGCAATTCCTTCTTCAGATGTCAGTGTTGATGGGTACTATTCTTTGATTCGTAAAAACTCCAACAGTCACATGCTAGGTTTAGGGGTATACATACGCATTAATTCCCCTATTTGTCGTGAAATCAGGTTTGAATCCTTTGACCATTCTTTTATGTGCTTTCGCCTAGCACCTCTTCACTCTATCACCTTTCTCTTTGTTGTTTATCGTTCTCCTTCTTCCCCTGATTGCACTCTTTTAGATGTTATCTCTGATCAAATTGACCATGCCCTCTCTCTTTACCCCTCTGTAAATATTGTTGTTGGTGGTGATTTTAATGCCCATCACACTGAATGGCTTGGCTCTAACACCACTGATTCTGCTGGCACTAAAGCATTTAACTTCTGCGTTTCTCAATCTCTTACTCAGATAGTTAACTTTGTGACTCGTTTTCCTGACAACCCTAATCATTTACCTTCACTCCTTGACTTATGTCTTGTCTCTGACCCTAGCTTATGTTCAGTTTCTCCCTTTTCTCCCTTAGGTGGTTCTGACCATGCAATGATCTCTATAAATCTTTCTTCTCGTACTTCTTTTTTAGGCTCACCTTATCATCGCACCACCTACTACTAACCTAAAGCTGACCGGGATTCTTTTCGTGATTTTCTTCGTGATGGTCCTTGGGCTGATGTTTTTTCTCTCTCAGCTGAAAAATGCGCCTCTATGTAACCTCCTGGATTCAGGCTGGAATGGAAGCTTTTATTCCTTCTCGTCGATTTCAAGTCAAGCCTCATTCTACTCCATGATTTTCTCCTTCTTGTGCGGCTGCTATATCCAATCGTAATAATTTTTTTCATCTTTTTCAAAAGAACAACTCTCTTGAGAACAAACGGCTATTTATTATTGCAAGAAATCGATGTAAAAAGGTGCTATCTGATGCCATATTCCATTATTATCAGTTTACTAAAGCTCACATCTTATCACAGAAGTTAGGCTCTAAAGACTTTTGGAAAATCTTCAACAGCATTATTAACAAGGGTAGATCTAACATTCCATCTCTCATTCATGGGACTGATCTTGTTACCTCTCCCAGGGATAAGGCAGAACTGTTTGCAAAGAACTTTTCTTCTAATTCCACTCTTGAATCTTATGGACATTCTATTCCTTCCATTCCAGTCAAACAGGTTGACCCATTGTTAGACATTCAAATCACTCCGGCTTCTGTTGCTAAAGTCATATCTCAATTAAACTCGTCTACAGCTTGTGGTCCAGACAACATTCCTGTCACAGTCTTGCAGAATTGTTCTCCAGAACTTTCTTCAATTCTCTCTAAACTATTTAACAAGTGTTTGACTGAGTCTTGTTTTCCTGCTTGTTGGAAAATGGCATCTGTGGTTCCAATATTCAAAAACTCTGGAGAAAATTCTGACCCCTCCAATTATTGTCCGATCAGTCTTCTTTCTGTTATTAGCAAGGTCTTTGAGTCTTTGATCAACAAATTCCTCACATCTCATCTTGAGTCAAATAAACTGCTGTCAGACAATCAATACGGTTTTCGATCCTCTCGCTCTACGGCCGACTTGCTAACTGCTGTAACTGAAAGATTTTATCGTGCATTAGATGGAGGCGGTGAGGCTAGGGCTATTGCTCTCGACATATCTAAAGGTTTCAACAAAGTTTGGCATGCTGGTCTTCTCCATAAGCTTGCTTCATATGGTGTTTCTGGGAAAGTTTTTGAGATTATCAAATCATTTCTTTCTAACTGGTTTATTAAAGTCATCCTTGAAGGCCAACACTCTTCTTTATTTCCAGTAACTTCTGGGGTTCCCCAAGGTTCCATCCTGGGCCCTGTTTTGTTTCTTATCTACATAAACGATCTTCCTGACAACCTTTCATCTAAAGTAGCTCTTTTTGCTGATGACTCAACTTTATACTCCTGTCTTGACAAAAAGTCTTCTCTTTTCGATCGCCTAGAACAAGCAGCTGATCTTGAATCCGATCTCACTTCAGTAATAGATTGGGGTTCACAGTGGCTTGTGAATTTCAACTCTAACAAAAGTTGTTTACTGCAAACAACTGCCGTAATATGGTCAACATTCCTATATTAATGAATGGCAATCCTCTTACTGAGTCCTCCTCTTTACGTCTTCTTGGATTATCGCTTACTACTGACCTTTCATGGAAACCATATATACAATCGATTGCTAAATTAGCTTCTGCTAAGGTTGCTTCTCTTTATCGTGCTCGCCATTTTCTTACTTCTGATTCCATTCTCTACCTCTACAAATCTCTTATTCGTCCCTGTATGGAATACTGTTGTCATATTTGGGCTGGTTCTTCTAACAATTCACTTTCTCTTCTTGACAAGGTCCAAAAACGCATTGTAAATGTTGTTGGACCTGGACTATCTGCTAAGCTTGAACCTCTTTCCCATCGTCGTAAAGTTGCATCTCTTTCTCTTTTCTACAAATACTATCATGGTCACTGCTCAATGGAGTTATCATCTCTAGTTCCATCAACTAAAATTCATTCTCGTTTTACTCGTCATTCAGCTAAGTCTCATTCATTTACTGTATCTGTCCCTGCATGCTCTAAAAACTTTTATTCATCTAGTTTTTTTCCCCGCACTTTAATCCTTTGGAACTCTCTCCCATCTTCATGTTTTCCTGACTCATACAACCTTCAACTTTTCAAGTCTTCTGTTAACTGTTTCCTTGCTCTATAACTCTGTTCTTTTTTCTCCTAGTAACTCCCAACTTAATAGTGGTTGCTTGCAGCCTTGTTGGGAGTGAATGCAAATAAAAAAAATCATTAACAAGTGCATTTCATAAATATCAAAATAAACTATATTGCCTTATTTTGAGAGATACAAAACTATAAGTTTTGGACTCAGCAGAGTATAAACTTTTTTGATAGCAACATTTTCTGCTCATATTTAGGTCAAACAAACTTAAAGTTTCTGTAAATCTTAAACAGATACAAAATTTTTTTTTTACAGTTTTACCTATCTTATGTCAATAAATTTTTACCTAACTTATGTCTCTATGTGCCAAATTTCAGTTGTAACCACAAAAAAGGTTGTAACCACAAAAATAGTAACCTCCTCAACTGCTCTCTTGACCTTTGGGAGTTGGATAACAAAGATTAAAAAAATAATAACAGATTGAAAAAAAATTTACCAAATCCAACCATGTTTTTCAAGTCACCCCTCATGATAATTTTTTCATTTCCTAATCTACCAGTTCGCAAATGCACCATCCAATAAAACATCCAATCTAGTCTGCATCGATGATTCATCACAATCAATGAACTTTTGCTAGAATCTACTTGATCTCCAGTAATAACAACTTTCGTTCCATAAAATAATTCTAAACATGTAAAATAAAACTTATTTTAAATAGAAGAATTTATTTAATCAGTCGCAATTTCTGAGTGCATGAAATCCACTCAAAAATTATTAGAGATAATCAAAATCATTACTTAATTTTAAATGGTTGTTAAATTTTTAAGCAAGGGTGTATTGAACACTAGTTAGTAAAAATAAGTGCTTAATACTTAACTCTGTATGTTATTTTGGAGCAAGCATTTATTTTGTTATTTTACTTCATTGGTGTGTAAAATTTCATGAAAATAAGTTTAAGTTGTGAGCCAGTATTAAATAGTAACACAATGTAACAAAGCTCTCAGATTTTTTAATGTTTATTTTTTGCCACTGAATTTAAAAATCACATATATTTGTAACATTGATAGTTTTTTATTTATGCTTAATTTCATATTTTCATGATTTAAGTGCAATATTTCTCAGAATATATGTATCAGTCTATTCTAGTAAGGTAAGGATAATTACATAACATATAGCACTTTTTCATATATTAAAAGGTATTTAGGAAGTTCGATATTAGTAAAAACAAAAAGAAACAATAAAATTCTTTCCATAAATATTTTTAAACTTACACTTCCAACACAAATCTTTACTATAAACTCTTTCCTCAAGATTAGAAGTGTTGCGATGATCGCAATTTTCTTGAGTGTATACTTTTATCTTTTCTGACTTTATAGACCATTATCTCCTACATAGCAGTATCCGATTGTCCTTGATACCCACTTTCTGTGTTCTGATGAAATCTCTCATCACACGTATTACATTTTAAGAGATGTTTTTAAATGATAAAAATATGATTTAGAGATATTTTTAAAAAATATTTTTAAATGACATTTTAAAAAAAGAAGTTTTTAAAACAAATTACTTTATCCCCGCACTTCAATCCTTTGAAACTCTCTTTCATCTTCATAACTTTCTAACACATAAAACATAAAACATCAAAACCCTTTTGTCAATTTTGTCCTTTTGACAAAAGGGTTTAACCCTTTTGTTAAACCCTTTTGTCAACAGTTTTCTTGCTCTTTAATTTTTTTTTGTTTTTGTTTTTTAGTAACTTCCAACTTAATAGTGGTTGGATGCAGCCTTTTTGAGAGTGAATTAGATTAAAAAATAATAACAAAACAAAATACTTATGTTTTGAGCACTAACTTTAAATGCAGATTTGAACAGGCACGCAAAAATATTCTTTATGTTTTATGCAGGGATGTGGAGTTTTAAAAAGAATTCCGGATTTGAATGTCAAAAAAGGTTATGTCTTCCTAGTTTTTGGTATCCAGGAGCTCTAATAATATGTAAAAACCCTTATGAACTACTATTGTTTAAAAAAATTGAACTTTTAGGTTAGAGAAACAACAACTTTTTAAACCCGGAGTCCTAGATATAATGGCAACAAGGACTCCGGGTTTAAAAACAATATTTTTCAGGTCATTAAATTTCATAAAGTTTTGGAAACCAGAGACCAGGAAAAAAAAGAGATATAAAGCTGGAGTTCTTTTTGGACTCTGCATTCATGGTTTTATGAAAGATTTTACATGGAACAGAAAAACTGGTATTTAAAATAGCTACTAATATTGTATTTTTCTGTCTAAATATGTGTATTATTATCTGTCTTGTAACCCACTAAATTTATTTCCTAATTTAAGCCTAGACTGCAAGAGAAGCACACTTACAACTTCTTGTAAAATGCTTTGTGAGGCGCTGGGGACTATGATGTCATATTGGCGCTAAAATTGTTATAACTTTTTAATAAATTTTTTTTGGAATTGGCAGAGAAAATTAATAAATAAACAAACAAAAAATTAAAAGTGGGCAAACATTTCATAAAAATTTGTAATATTTGAGATGTTTTAAAATTATCAACAAAAAATTAAAGTTTTATGAAAAATGTGCAAATCATAATACAGTATGCATAAATAATGATAATATTTGTTTTACTTTTTTATTAATATTCTTAACATTCATAATTTTTGATTAATATTTTGATATATTAATCAAAAATTAAGAATTCTTCTCAAACTTGTTTTATAAAAAGTAAACATTAAATAACATCATCATTATCATCATCATCATTTTTCTAATATAAAATATTTCAAGTATTTTTTTACTTAACAAAAGCTAGTTCATGCCATATGTAATGCACTCTCTTCAAATTTTCTTACTTCTAACTCTTCCATTTTCTCCTAAAGCCGCTACCTCTCTACATGCTGGTGAATACATCTTATAAATACTAAATTTTATACAAATATGTAAAAATGTTGATTCCAGCATCTAAATAAATAACAAATATATATGTTTATATCCATATATATCCAAATTATGTATGCTTAAATATATATAACTAATATATATTTTACCTAACTTCCTGGATCCAAGCAAGTATGGAAGCAGGTATTGTCCCTTCTCTTTAGAGAGATTTATCTTTTATAGAGAAGTTTTGAATCAAGCCTCATTCTACTCCACACTTTTACCTTCTTACGCAGTTGCTATATTAAACTGTTACAAAAACAAATGTCTTTTCATTATTGCAAGAAGATAATGTAAAAATGACCTGTCTAATGCTAAGCTCTGTTATTCTTAGTTTACTAAATCTTGTATCTTAGATACATAGGTTTTAGATACTTTTGGAAATTTGTTTCATTAAAAAAGTCTAACATCTCTAGTTCATGGATCTTATTACTTCTCCCCTCAAGTTCATGGTTCTGATCTTATTACTTCTCCCCTCTAGTTCATGGGTCTGATCTTATTACTTCTCCCGTCTAGTTCATGGGTCTGATCTTATTACTTCTTCCCTCTAGTTCATAGATTTTATTACTTCTCTCCAGAACAAGGCTGAACAATTTGTAAAGAATTTTTTCCTCTAATTTGATTGCCATTCAAGTTAAACAGGTCACTCATTGATAGACATTCAGCTTACAATGCTTAAGTCAATTCTCAACTTTAATCTTCTACGGCTAGTGGTTCAGACAACACATTTTCATTGTAGTCTTACAAATGAGTTTTTTAGAATTCTTTTCTAGAAACTCAAGTGAGCTATCATAGTTTGATCAACTAAAATTCATTCCAACTTGGTTTGTCATTCAGAAAAGTCACACCATTTTAATGCATTTGGCCCTCCAAGCTATAAAATTTTTTATTCGTCTGGTTTATTTCCGCACACATCACCAAAATCTCAAAACCCATCTTCATGTTTTCCTGACCTATACAACCTACGATTGTTTACTTTCTCTTTTCCCTATACTTTGTTTTTTAGTAACTTGATAGTGTTTTAGTAACTTGATAGTGTTTTAGTAACTTGATAGTGTTTTAGTAACTTGATAGTGTTTTAGTAACTTGATAGTGTTTTAGTAACACTTGATAATGCTTTAGTAACTTGATAGTGTTTTTTTTTTTTTTTTCATTCAAGCTTATTGATAACTTTCTGTAACTTATATTTTATTTATTTGCCTTCTCCCAAACAGCAGTCAAGATTTTAAATCTTTAGATGTCAGCTTCTTTAAAGAAGGTTGCTAATTTTGAGAGACATTTGGGACTACTTCTTCTAAGAGGCTTGTAATATATCGGTAAACAAGATTATTTCTCAACTTTACTGAGGCTAACCTAGCTGAAAGTGAACATAAAAAATGTAGAATCTGATTTAATAGTACCAGATCTATATTTGTTTATAGTACCAGGTCTATATCTGTTTATAGTACCAGGTCTATATCTGTTTAAAGTACCAGGTCTATATCTGTTTATAGTACCAGGTCTATATCTGCTTATAGTACCAGGTCTATATCTGTTTATAGTACCAGGTCTATATCTATTTATAGTACCAGGTCTATATCTGTTAGATCCATGTAAAGCTGCCAAAAAAGGTGCTGGTGACAATTGTGACAAAAAAAAGCAGAAACAATAGTAGCAGTTAGTAAGTAGCAATAGTAACAGTAGTAACTCCTCTACTCAATCATTTACAAATGAAGTTTGTCACACATTTTGTACACAATGACAGAATGTCTTTAAACATTTATTTACTGTCACTATAAACTTTACAAAGGTGAGAAAACTTTCACTGATCTTAGTTACTGGATGAGATATCATCTGTAATGAAGTAGTAAATTGTACTAAAAATGTGAAAATTTATTTTTTGAAACATGTCAGAAAGAGAGCTATTACAAGAATAAAGCAAGACTCTCACTTTGGCAGAAAAAAAACAAAAAAATAATCAAACTTTTAATCAATTTGCATATTCTTCTAGTGACATTTGGTGAAGCAGAAAGATCATTTTCAGACAAAAACAAATAAAAAGATCTGCATTCAACTATGCATCAAATGCCTTCAACTGCCATGTGTTTAATGAATATATACAAAGAAAGAAAAATTGATATTCCTGGATAAACATTTTCTAACATGTTTTTTTAAGTGCAAGACCTATGAAAGATAAAAACATTCTGCATTTATGAATTAAAAACACTTAATTATTTTTTAATTGTAAAACCCTAACAATTTTTAATTTAAATTCTTAGTTCGAACATTATTCTCACTTTGAGATAATAATAACGATTTGCTGAAAAATCATTACAAAAATAAAAAAATAAGTATTCAAAAAACTGTTAATTTAAATTTTTTTAATTATAAGCACATTTTAAAACATAATTTTTTAAATAATTTTTTTATTAAAAAATTAAATTAATTTTTTAATAATTTTTTATAATGGTTATACCCAACCATAAAATAGGTCAATACCAAAAGCTAAGAAAAAAAAAAGTTACTTAGTAATACATGGTGGTATTGTAAGCATTAAAAATGAAAAAAAAGAATGCCTTTTAGATGTGTTGCTACTAAAGTTGTAAACTTGGTTTTTAGTTAGTTTTTTTATTCTAATTCACTCCCAACAAGGCTGCAAACAGCTACTATTAAGTTAGGAGTTTCTAGAAAAAAGAAGAATAGAGTTAAAAAGCAAGGAAACAATTGACAGAAGACTTGAAAAGTTTTAGGTTGTAAGAGACA